GCAGATGACACAGGGGCAGGCAGAGGGCTGGCCTGGGGCAGGGACGTCGCCTCTGCCCCCGGGGAAGAGATTTGGGGGCAGAAAAGGGGAGATTTGTTCCGCCCTGCGAAATCCCCCTGGATTTGTTCCGCCCTGCGATAGGTATTTCTGTGGGGTGACCCCACGGGGGGCAGCTCCGTGGTGGGGTGTGGAGATGAGAGAGAGAGGGGGTCTGGGGAGAAGGGGGGATGGGGAAGGAGGAGGAGGAGGAGGAAGAAGTCACCCGTGAAAACCATCTCTGTTGTCACATCTGCTCCTCGGGGCTCTGGGGACAGAGAGAGCTTTTCCTGCGGGCTGAGGTTGTGGGGTATCGGGGGGGGGAAAGAGGGGGGGAGCAGAGCCCTGGCACGCTCAGTGCATGCCCCGGGCACAGCCGCGGTGCCATCTGTCAGGATTTCTGCTGCCCGTGGGTCCCAGGAGCTTCTCTGATGTCTACTAAGGGTTGGGCTGAGGCTGATGGCATCTCTGTGCCATCCCCGGGTTTTCTTATTCCCTCTGGGCATGTGGGCAGGGATGCTCCAGGGATGCTGCTGGGGATGCAGGCAGGGATGCTGCCAGGGATGCTGCCAGGCTGGTTCCCCACACTCTGCTGACATTGGCACTTGGGACTCGGGCGTCCTTGAGCGGAGCAAGCGCCGGGAGAAGGGACCAGGTTCTCTTTAAGGGGCAGGACTCCGAGAGCATCATGAAAGCAAGAGTGAGCTTCTTTCCCTCTGCCTTCTACCATCCCCTCCTTCCCTGCCCGCTCCTTTCCCCCGCTGGGCAGGGAGGGTGACGGGCAGGAGCTGGGTGCTGGGATGGGAGGCTGAGCCAGGGGAGGAGGAGGAGGAGGAGGAGGAGGAGGGGAGGGAGAAGGGGAGGATCTGCTAATTACACAGAAGAGCTCTGGGGGCTGCCGAAGTCCAGAATGAAGAGAAGAGCAGCAGAAGCCAGTGCTGCAGCGGGAGCGGAGGAGCCTGAGCGTCACCCAGAGACAGGAGACTGTCGCTGTCCCCACCCGGGGGCACCCAGGGGGTCCTGCAGCCCTGTGTCCCCCCCCTGGGGACAGCCTCCAGCACAGCCACCAAGCCCTCTGCAGCCAGCCCTGGGTGAAGAGAGGGGAAGGAGTTGGTGGTCCCGAGGACACAGGGGACACAGAGCCAGTCCTGCCATGGTCCCAGGGGGCTAGGACACCCCCCCAAAATCCCTGGGGAAGGGGTGAAGGATGGCCACCGAAGGAGGGGGAGCCAAGCCCGTCGCCCAGTCTGGGATGGAGAACTTCCGAAAGGTGAGGACCTCGGAGGAGGAGAGCCCTTTGCCCTTCCCCGACCTGCCCCCGGACGTGGTGGAGATGAAAGTGAAGGAGGGCAGCAAGATCAGGAACCTGATGAACTTCGCCATGGCCCAGATGGAGCTGAAGGGCCGGCGGCAGATCGTCTTCAGCGGCTGCGGCAGGGCGGTCACCAAGACCATCACCTGCGTGGAGATCATGAAGCGCAAGCTGGGAGGGCTTCACCAGGTCACCAAGGTACGCTACAAAACCCTGCTGGAGGTCTGGGAGAACCAAGACCCGCTGCCCGGTGGCCCGGCGCAGAACCTGACCGTCCACAAGAACGTCCCCTCCATCTGCATCCTCCTCTCCCGAGACCCCCTGGACCCCAACCAAACGGGCTATCAGCCCCCCGAGCCCCAGCACGGGCCACAGCTTGGTGATGCAGGAGAAGACACGTCCAGCTCTTCCACCAAGGGGCTGAAGCGGTCCTTGCCACCTCCCGGCGAGGAGCTGCTGACCAAGAAGTTGCAGGTACAGGTAGCCGAGAGCCCAAGGGACTCGGGGACCTCTGACCACCAGCCAGATGGCCACCACTGATCCCCCCCCACCTCCTAAACTGGGAGGAGATTGTACGCTGGAGAGATTTGGGGGGGGTTTAAGTCATTTTGCTGTGGATAATGCAGTGCTGGGCTTGCTGTGGGGTCACCAATGTGCTGCAGGCTCCCCCCGGCACAGGGGACCCCCATGGATGGGGGTCCTTGTCCCCAGATTAAAGGGTTAAACCAGCCAGCATTGGGTTATGGACTGAATTTCGGGGGGGAAGATGCATTGGGGGGAGCCGTTCACCCCACATTCGGCCACTCAGGGGTGATTCCACCATCAGCCCCACATCTGCAGTGACCCCCACGGACCAAGGGGAAGGTAGGTCCCCAGCGCCAAGTCTCAGCCACCAGGAGGGACGCTTTTGCCCCCACTTAACACCTTCATTAATCAAACCCGCTGACAATTGCCGCTGTGATTCTCCCAGAATCGAACGCACAAACGAGGGGACGGGTCGCTCCCTCTAATTTGTATTAGAAAAAGACAAAAATACGAGAGCCTTCCTCTTTCCACAGCAGATATTCCGGGTTGGGCTCCCCCCCAGAGCAGTGGGAAGGGTCTGGAGCTGGGGAGGGGGAGCGGTGGGAGGGCTGTCATTGTTGAGGGGTATTAGTTGTTTAGTGTAAATAAGTAAGTTTTAATTAGAATAAATTATTTAGAGTTATAATACAGGGGGTCGGGGGGGGTGTTATGCTGTTTGCTTAGCTTTACTTAACAGAGTAGCTAAATTTGCTGAAGCTTTTAGGCTGTGATAGTTATTTTTCTCGGTAATTTTCCTACCGGCTGGTGTGGGGCTGCATTTAGTCTTTTAGTGGTTTGATGTCACACTGATGTTTTGGGAGCCTTTTTCCCAAGTCCGGGACTCTCCAGCTCTCCGTGTTCCACCAGCGAGCGCAGGAGGAGGCTCCGACCCCCGGGGCTGAAACTACAAATCAATGCCCTAAGGACACAAGAACCCAATTATGTGTTGGAAGACCCCCAGACTGAAAATCACCATCGGACTAAAAGACGCGTGAGGGGCTGGGGTGGAGATCACAAGGGGAAAATTCCCCAGTGATTCCTTTCCTCTCTTTGGAGGTGCCCAGCCTGGCTGCTGTACCTTCCAATTAAATTAATTTATTTTATAAAATCCCACGCCTGAGACTGTGGGACTGAGCCTGGAGGAGGAGGAGGAGGAGGAAGATGCTCCTTTCGCAACCGTGGTGGCTGGATGCAGTGCCTGGTGCAGGACGGGGAGGTTTTTGGGGGTCTGCATCTTGGCTGCAGAGCCCTGGAGACCCTCAAAAGCTCTTTGGAAAGAGCTGAAATATGGAGAAATGGCGGGGGATCATCTCGGCTACGGACCATGGCACAGGGAGGGATGCTCCGGCCGCGGCCGCGTTATCTCCCCACCTCACTCCTGCTCTCCAGGGACACCCCATTTTTTACCAAGGGCTGGGAGAGCGAATGAGAGGAGACAAGGAGGAGGAGGAGAAGGATGAAGCACGGTGCTGTTTTGTTTGGCAATGACCTTGCTATCTCCGTCAGCAGCCAGCTGCTCCTCCGGACCGCAGCCTCCTGCTTATCTGCCCTGCCGCAGATTGAATGTTAATTTCCAATTGTTTGGGTTTTTGTTAATAATTATTTTTTGTGGGTTTGGGGCTGGGAAAGCTCTGTCTCATCCAGCGATGGCTCTTCCAGCCTCCTCTCTCTGGCGCGGACACTGTTCAGGTCTGACCCTGTGCCCCGCATGAGAGGGAAGCACCAAAATGTACTAAAAAACATGCTAATAAATAAAAACCTTTTAAAACACTCAGATCAGAGTCCAAAGTCTTTCATGGCCGCGCAGCTGAGAGCCAACAGCCTCTCGCCATCTCACATGGCTCCCAGCAAGGAGAGGAGTCTTTCATGGCCGCGCAGCTGAGAGCCAACAGCCTCTCGCCAACCATCTCACACGGCTCCCAGCACGGCGAGAGAGAAGGAAAAAACACACAAAAGATTAGTCATTTCTCCTTACTACTTTTTGTTAATGTGCAAGATGGTTTTTAATTTATTTTATACGCAGGCAATTTCCAATCCTGGAGGCCGCAGGAGCCTGGGGAGTTTGCACTCCTCGCTTTGCTGGCTGTGGACCAAGGCTTTCCTACGTAAGAAAATGGTTAATAAATAAATAAATGTCTGTAACCCAAAACATGAAGCATTTCCGATGACACCTGGCCCCACAGGGTCCTGAGGGGACACGGCAAGCGGAATTATCATGGTGCTCATGTGCTGCATCGCCGAGGGACAGCCCCATGATGAATTTTGGGGGTCATTTGGTGGGTTCAGCGGTGTCCTCAGGGCTGGTGGCCCAGTCAGCCCTCCCCCCATGGAGGATGCACCCTTTGGGACATGGTCTGGGGACAAGGATGTGGCAGACACCGGGGGTGGCAGAAGGGGAGCAACACAGAGAACCCCAGAGAGCTGCTGGACGCTGTGGCCAGCGCCAGGTCCCATTTTCCCCTCACTCTTTCCCTCCCCAGAGCTGGTGCCAAATTCCCTGTGGGAATCCACCAGGGAACATCCTCGGGAGCCCGCACTGGGGCCGTGGCCCGGTTAACGGGGCAGCAGAACCGATCTGGCACCATAAAAACCCCTAAAACACGGCGACTACCGGTCTCTGACGCGGCGGGAGAGCCCCACAGCCACCCGCCACCGTCCCCGCCCTCGCCACAAAATGGCGCCCGGCTCCGCCCCAAAATGGCGGCCGGCCCCGCCCGGCGGCGGAGGCGCTAAGCCCGGCCCCCTCCGCGGCCGCCCTGCCGTCCGTCCTCACCGCAGCGCTCCCTTCCTTCCTTCCTTCCTTCTTTCCCTCCCGTCCCTCCCCGTCCGCCGCCCGGTGCCCGGAGCTGAGCGGCCCGCCCTCCCCCTCCCCTTACCCAAGTGCTGCCTTCCCTCCCGCCGCCATGCTGGCCGCCACAGCCGCTCTCCTTCGCCGTTGCGCCGTCTCCGGCCTCCGCGCCGCCGCCGTCCGCCGCCCCGCAGGTGAGAGGCATCCCCCAACTGACCACCCAACCCTCCCACAACCATTCTCGGTTCGGCCCGGCCTCGGTGCTTCCAGGGCGCTATGTCCTTGTAGCGACCCGCCGGTGTCACTCGAGGACAGGCCGCGGCTGCGGCCTAGTGCGCGCCGCCCCCGCCGGGCCCGGTAACACACCCCGCTTCCCCCCCATTCCTCAACATACACCGTTACCGGCCCCGCCGCCTCCCGGGGGTCGCCGGGTCCCTTCCCCGGGGGCTGCAGGGGGATGGCCGGCGGCGCTGTCCCCCCGGCCTGCCGCCAAGGTGACATTGAGGGAGGTTGGCGGTGACCTCCGCGGACAGGCCCCGGGCCTACCCCCAACCCCGCTCTCCAGCTCCTACCCCCTCCTTTGCACCCCTCATTAACACCCCAATTAATAGGAAAAAGAAGAGAAGTAGCCACCGGCAGTGCGGCTCGGGTGCTGGCCGGGGGACAGCAGGGCAAAAACCCACACCATGCAGCATGTCTGTGCAGCTCAATTAATAAGTAATTAAGCAGGCCGTGGTCAGGTTTAAAGCGCTGGGGGCCCTGTGCGTGCCTCACCTTTAGCACATGGGAATTAAAACAGTTTCCAAGCAGCCTCCATGCTCCTCTTTCCCCAGGTCCTGCCTCGCCAAGACCCTGCGTTACCCTCCTGACCCCCTTTGCCTTCCCCGCTGCCCTCGGGGGCCTGTGTTTGTTAAACCCAATGCCTTTGGTTCATCTGTCGAGCCTCGGGGTTTAGATTTATGTTCTATAATGCTTTAAAACACTCCCCATGTAATGCCCATCCTTATTCACTGCCCTCGGGGGCCTGTGTTTGTTAAACCCAATGCCTTCAGTTCATCTCCCGAGCCTCTGGGTTTAGATTTGTGTTCTATAATATTTTAAAACAGTCCCCATGTAATGCCCATGCTTCTCCTTGCCAGTCTGGCATTTTTTAGTGAATAATGCTCCTCTTGATGCGTGTTTTTTTTCCTTTTTGCTCATTAGCCAGGAAATCCAACAATTTCCAGCACTCAGGGAAGGTTTAACATGTGTTTGTGTGCTGTTAGATGATTTTAGGCTTGTGGAGCTCTTAAAGCTTGTTAAAGTCTTTTAAAAAACACACCTCTGCAAACATACGTGCCCTTTGCTTCTCCCCAGAGTTGGGAATCTACCCAGGGATGGGTTGGCTTGGCGGGACCGTCACGGTGCATGTGACAGTGACCTTGATGGACCCCGTGGAAACGCCAGGCACCAGGAGGGTGGCTGGCAGGGGCTGCCCTTCCAGTACAGACCTCCTGTCCAGTATAGAGATGGAAACCTCAGTATAGAAAACGAAGCCTCGTAAAGCAACAGCAGCAGTTGAAAAACACCCCCTGGAAACCCAGGGTTCAACTTCCTGTGCATGGTGTTTTGTTTTTTTTTTTCTTCTCATTTTTCTTCAGCATCCTTTCAGTCCAACCAAGTACTTCCTTTATTTAAGACTAAATGGGGCGCTGAGCCTATAGACTTTAGTTTTTTGACTTAAAGATGGCATTCCAGAACTTCAATCTAGGCTTTTCTCAGACTGGGATTTGCTATTTCTCCGTAGAATTTGCTTTATGTTTCAGGAAAAAAAGGTATTCTCCCCCCCATACTGAGGATTTGTCAGCACTGTCCTCTCGTTCCTTGCCTGGGCACAGAGGAGTGCTCTTGCTCTGAGCTCAGCAAGGGATTTATTGGAGAAAGCAGGGTCAAAGAGCTGTTTTGGAGCTGGGAAAGGGGATGGGGAATCTCCAGACAGCGCGGCAAAAGAGTGTTACAACTCTGGATTGGCCTGTCCCTTACTTTTCCCTTACCTAGTTAGGTAGATTAAAGAAATGGAAGTATTTTCCTGGTTTGGGAAGCATTGCATACACCGGAATTGCAGCTGAAATGTTGGGCTGCCTTAAATTTTGTTTAAAAAAAAATAATATCTGGATTGCATTCCCATTGGGCTGTTGTTTAATGCGACTAAAGATGTTCCTTGAAATTGTTGGGGCTCATTCTATTACATTTTATTTAGAATTAGGATGCTGCTTTGCAGGGTGCTGCTCACCATGGTCTTAAAAGTGGAAAAATATACGTGGGAAGGGAGGCAAAAACGCTGCCCAGTCTGATATGGCGTGTGCAGGGTGCAAGATACGTAGTTTGAGGGTTCCTTCTTTTAAATAAAACTTTTCTAGCTGGCCCGGGACGAGTGGTTCGTGCTGGGTTAAGAAAGAAAAAGTGCCTGGCGATATGTGAGCAAGGTCATAGCTGGTGTGTGACCTCTCTGCAAATATTAGTGGAGTGGAATTACCGGTGGGGGAAAGGGAGCAGGCGCTGGTCAGGCTGTGCTCGGATGGCGTGGCAGCTTCCAGAGGTCCCAGTACAGCTCCGGTGCTGGTGGAAGGTGTCTGTACCCTGGGTTTTAATTCCTTTGGGAAAACTCTTCTGACCTTTGAGGGTTAAAAACCCCCTGTTAGAGTGGTGTTGAGGAAAGAAATGAGTTTAGAATCGTATCAACCTTATTTGCCCATTGGAGAACGATCCACTCTTGTGCTTTATTAATTACAAAATATTAATGCAGTTACAGCCTCGCTACCCGGGAGTTTTATCTTGGGTAAACACAGGGACAGCAGTCATCTTGTTTTCTCCCTTAACTCTTCAAGAGCCCTTGTTCCTCGTGCTCTTGAGAGTCTTCCTAATTGGGCTGAGGTGGTTTTGTGGGGATTCCTACGACCGCTTGAATTTGAAACGAGTCCTCGTGGGCTCTGAACTCCTGGTGGAACCAAAGACCTGCAGCTCGTTGCTGTGGAGCCAAGTCTGTCAGTTGGGAAATCTGCTTTTCCTGGATGACAAAACCGGTCGTGGAGCAATTTCAGGAGCTGCCTGCAGTGGGAGGTCACTCCAGAATAAACCGTTGCCTTCACCTGAAAGGGCATAAGGGTATAAATAACAGGAAAAAGGGGTTTATTTCTGTAAGGAATGCCGCTGAAAAACCAATGTGTGGAGCTGAACTCGCTGCACAGACAAGTCCTGTGGTTTTGAGAGGGGTCCAATGTGGGGAATGGGAGGATTGTGTTATTTCTGAGGGGCTGGTGATGAAGTACGTGTGTGTTAATGTTTCTCTGGCTCGGGAGAGGGAAGATTCCTCTCTCTTGTGGAGACAGGGCTCACAGACAAACTTCTCTTAAGGACTGGTTATACAGAGTTGTTTCTTTCTTGTGTTGCCCCATCCCTCTTCAATAATTCTGCTCTGACCAAAGGACCTGGGAACGCTTCGGAATTTTGATGTAAAACAGCAAAATACACACTTTGCCACAAAACGAACAGCGGGTATTTAATAAGCTGTATTCATCTAGGACTTATCCGGGCTGAGCGCTGATCTAGATTCCCTGTAGTGAGCAAAATACATACTTTATGGCTTTTTTTGCTTTTTTTTTCTCTGAATCAGGGCTAAATTACACTTATTTTCTGTTTGCTCAAAGCCTCTTCCTTTCTTTCTGCCTTCAGCCATACTGCCTGCCCGCTGCTACTCTCACGGCTCGCAAGAATCAGATGAAGAATTTGATGCTCGCTGGGTGACGTATTTCAACAAGCCAGATATCGACGCCTGGGAGCTGAGGAAAGGTACGTGGAGTGAAAAGGGGAGGAGTGACAGGGAGTAAATACAATTCCCTAAATCTCGGTGCCCCAGAGTATGCGGTTTTTACACCCGGATGGGAGGGAGAGAAAGGTTTGCTCTGAGGAAGGTGTGTTTGAGCTCAGCTGTTGTGTAGTGAATAACCACACGTGTTTGTCTTTGGACTTTGACTTAGCAGCTTGGCCATAACTCACTGCCTGGTTTTCTGCAGTTTTTATTTGCCGTGGGGTTGCCAGCTCCTGTTACACTACCCCAATTAGAGCTTATTAACCTGTTTGCATAACAGCCAGAGGGGTGATTCTAGCACCACCTGGATGAGTAGGTGTTGGGCTCTGGCCTTGGAAAGGGGAGGAAGGCAAGGGACAGTGGCTCAGGTTCTGGTTTGGTTACACCTGTAGGAATGAAATCGTTTGGATTTCTTAACGACTCCATAACTGAGAGGAATCATTAGTGGTACAGACACTGACTCCTTTTGGGGAGCATGGATGAAAACAGCCCACCAGGATTTCATGCAATTCACTTAAAATCTGCAGTGGGGAGTAACAGAGAGAGGAAGAAGAGCAAAATAAAACCCTCAGCCATGTGTGTGTCCTCAAAATAGCAATGAAAATTGTAACCTGCTTCTAGTGGCGACTGGTGGTGTAGTAATACTTCATTCTTTCATAAGGTGGAGCAAAATACCTCTCGTCAGGATCCTTTCTGTGAGCTGACGCCACCTTCCTCTCTGTGTTTCCTTACCTTCACAGGCATAAACACGCTGGTGGGTTACGACCTGGTGCCGGAACCGAAAATCATCGATGCAGCTCTGCGGGCGTGCAGGCGGTTAAACGACTTCGCCAGCGCCGTCCGCATCTTAGAAGTGGTAAAGGTGAGTGGGAGGGAGCCCTCAGGAGGGGTGGTGCGGAATCATTAGTGGTACAGACACTGACTCCTTTTGGGGAGCATGGATGAAAACAGCCCACCAGGATTTCATGCAATTCACTTAAAATCTGCAGTGGGGAGTAACAGAGAGAGGAAGAAGAGCAAAATAAAACCCTCAGCCATGTGTGTGTCCTCAAAATAGCAATGAAAATTGTAACCTGCTTCTAGTGGCGACTGGTGGTGTAGTAATACTTCATTCTTTCATAAGGTGGAGCAAAATACCTCTCGTCAGGATCCTTTCTGTGAGCTGACGCCACCTTCCTCTCTGTGTTTCCTTACCTTCACAGGCATAAACACGCTGGTGGGTTACGACCTGGTGCCGGAACCGAAAATCATCGATGCAGCTCTGCGGGCGTGCAGGCGGTTAAACGACTTCGCCAGCGCCGTCCGCATCTTAGAAGTGGTAAAGGTGAGTGGGAGGGAGCCCTCAGGAGGGGTGGTGGTGGTGGAAAATGCCACCCGAGAGCCCCACAGCCAAGGAGTTTTCCTTGGCGTGGAGGGGAACTGCTATTTCCTGCTGCTGGAATCAAAGCTGCTTTCCTTGGAATGAGGGTTTTGAGGTCGGGGTGCTCAACAGCACAACGTCGTGGAAGTATAATGTTATTATTTTATTATTTTCCTGTTGTCCTGTCCCAAAGCTGACTCTGGGAAAGTCTTTAAGGATTTTTTTCTTCCTTTTTGCTTTTTTTTTTTCATTCCAATAAGTATTATTAGAAATATCTCGAGCAAAGGTGGTTTTTTGGCTTCTCAAGGGACTGAATTCCGAGCTGGCTGGGAGCGGGAGTTGCACAGGCTTGAAAACCAACATCAGCCAGCACCTCAGAAGCTGAGGCCAGCCTTCCCTTACCAGGGAGTTAAAACTGGGAGGGGGAGGAGGTGGGAATTCTTCTATTCCAGCTGTGGAATCCAGCAGCTGTGCTCTCCCAGCTGTTTTTTATGCCACAGCTGGTGCGGAGGTCTCTGCTGCTGGCGCTGAAATCCACTTGCTTCAGACTCAACTCAACAACCAGTTGCTTTTCCCTTTGCTCCTCCTGCTTTCTTCTCTGGAACTGAAACTTTACCAGTGGTTTTAGAGACCAATAGAAGAATCCTCATATGTTTTCCTCATTATTTCTTTATTATTTTTTTTCTGATCCCCCACCACGTAGGGGACAAACTCCGTTTATCAGAACTCGGGGCCAAATTTATGGTCTTCCTGGAGTCCTGCCTAGATATTATTCAAGTTGAATTTTCTCTCGGGTCTGCCCAACAGCTGATTTTTATTCCCCCCTCCTTTTTACTGATGAGATAATTGTTTTCCTTCTATTTCCTCCGGCAGATCAGGCCAGGGTCTGTTTTGAGAATGCAGCTCGTGGTGGCAAACCTGGGCTGGCCGTCGAAATAACACCTTTCCTTTCCCTTTAGGACAAGGCAGGACCTCACAAGGAAATCTACCCTTACGTTATCCAGGAGCTTAGACCAACTTTGAGCGAGCTGGGAATCTCCACTCCAGAGGAGCTGGGCCTGGACAAAGCATAAATCTCACGGGTAAGGGACCATGTTGACTCCAAAACTCTTGCCCTGGGGTTCCACCGCCCAAAAATTCTCCTGGCAAAGGCAGAGTCCTCTTCCTGGGCCTGTGAAATTCTTGTAAAAGAGTTTTTCCAGAGGTAGTAATGCTTTTCAAAGAAGGCTTAAGGAATCACTGATGGCAGTGACTTGACAACGATGAAGCTTCTCCACCTTCCGCTTGAAATAGCATCTTTTTCTGTAATTAATCCTTAAATTTGGAGGGCCCCTTGCTTACGGAATAATGAGATTGGCACTACTGGCTTTTTAGGGCTGGGCTTCTGGCTGCCTCCTCAACTTGAAAACGGCTTAAAACTCAGACATTTAGATCTACAGGGGAAATCCCAGGCTTCGAAGGCGTCGTTACTGGGCAGCGGCTTCTCTGCTTAACAAGGATCTGTCATGGTGACAAACCTGGGCTGGCTGTCGAACTAACACCTTTTCTTTCCCTTTAGGACAAGGCAGGACCTCACAAGGAAATCTACCCTTACGTTATCCAGGAGCTTAGACCAACTTTGAGCGAGCTGGGAATCTCCACTCCAGAGGAGCTGGGCCTGGACAAAGCATAAATCTCACGGGTAAGGGACCATGTTGACTCCAAAACTCTTGCCCTGGGGTTCCACCGCCCAAAAATTCTCCTGGCAAAGGCAGAGTCCTCTTCCTGGGCCTGTGAAATTCTTGTAAAAGAGTTTTTCCAGAGGTAGTAATGCTTTTCAAAGAAGGCTTAAGGAATCACTGATGGCAGTGACTTGACAACGATGAAGCTTCTCCACCTTCCGCTTGAAATAGCATCTTTTTCTGTAATTAATCCTTAAATTTGGAGGGCCCCTTGCTTACGGAATAATGAGATTGGCACTACTGGCTTTTTAGGGCTGGGCTTCTGGCTGCCTCCTCAACTTGAAAACGGCTTAAAACTCAGACATTTAGATCTACAGGGGAAATCCCAGGTTCCAAAAGCATCGTTACTCGGCAGCGGCTTCTCTGCTTAACGAGGATCTCTCATTAAGCGTAGGCGGGGCCTAACTGTAATCCCAAACTCCTATAAAAACCTGACCCTCCTCCCTCGGATCCTCCAGTGTCGTATTCCAGACATTGTCCTTTTTTCTTTTTCCTTTTTTTTTTCTGTTTCTTATGCCCACAATAGGTGTTGGGGCTGCAAATAATCCTTAATTCCGGATATTTTGAGTTGCTGCCCCAGGAGATGAAAATTGGGGACGGGTGGTGGAGTCTCCTTCTCTGGAGACATTCCAAACCCTCCTGGACATGTTCCTGTGCAACCTAGGCGGGGGGTTGGACTAGATGATCTCCAGAGGTCCCTTCCCACCCCGTATCATTCTGGGATTCTGGGATTCATCACTTTTGGAAGTGGTGGGTGTTTAAATCGGGCTTTTGGAGTGGGGGGAAAAAACCCAAGCGATGAAAATAACACATCAGAGACCCCTCCCTGACTTTGTGGAGATAAAGGGCTGCTGCTTTAATGTTTTGGGTTTTTTTCCTCTTTTTTTTTTCCCATTTCAGGCGCGTTACTGGAGGGTTGGGCCGAGGCTCCCCAGTCTTACGCAGTCGCCCGGGAGACACCGGAGTTAAAATATCCCCTTCTTGGAAATAACTTCTTCCTTTATTGAGTCACGATGCACGCCACGTGAAGTTGGACCTAATAAAGGGAAAAACCTGGTTTGACTGACGTTGTGATTTTTTTTTTTATTTTATTATTATTATTATTTCTCTTTTAACAGGGGAAAAGGAAAGAAAAGCGGGAAATGTGAAAAATTAAAGTGTAAGAGGTTGTAAATCCTTCCCAGCTGTGGGAAGGGAGCAGGGTGACCCTCCTGGGGTCTGCTTGGGGGCAGAGGAGAACGAGGGGAACCCCCCCGTGCTCTTGGAGGGTTCGTTATCCCCGGGGGTTCGTTATCCCCGGATGAGGCTGGGGCTTAACAAAGCCCCCCGAGGCGGGCGGGAGGCTGCTGCTGGCACCACACACACTCTCCTTCCCGTGCCTGGATGTGCTGGTGGCTGGGAATCTTCTGGGAAGTGAGTCTAGGGATTTGGGGGGGTTAAAAAGGGAGGAAAAAGGGATTTTTTTTCCTATTTTTGGGTTTTTTCGCCTCAAAAAAAAGGGAATTTTTCGGGGAAAGGTGAATTTGGGCAGGGAGGAGGTTCCCAGGGGGCGGGACCACCCGGTATCCCCGTATCCCGGTATCCCCTTATCCCGGTATCCCCGTGTCCGTGTATCCCGATATCCCGGTGTATCCCTGTGCGCATGCGCGACAGGGTGGGGGGGCGCGCCGCGTCCCTTCCTCCCATTGGCTGGGGCCGGCGCCGCCGCGCTCTGCCATTGGCCAGCGGCGCGGGAAGGGGCGGGGTCGGCGGGCGGCCATGGCGACGGGCGGCGGCGGCGATGGCGCCGGGAGCAGGACGGGC